CGGGCTCCAGCTGAGACAGGAGAGGAGGAATCTGAAAGTTTAAAAAAAAAAAAAAGAAAGAAAGAAAAAAATGCAAAGGAAAGGGCCTGCAGAAATAACCGACTCAGCCAGTTAAAACTGCTGTCTTCCCCCATTCTGCCCTATGCTCTTCAGTTAACATGGTTTCCACAGCTGCATTCCCCACCTCAAGGAAACTCCAGCCCCTTCCCTATCTCTGTAGCTGTGCAGGAATGTCAAGACTGTGGAACTGTTTGTTGTGTTACAGCGAGAGCTCAGCCTTTGGATAAGGAACCCCCTGAGCGGGGCTCTGACATCAATGAGTGCTACCCGCTGTCTGTAAGCCTAGGAGTCCCATCTCTTTGTTCAAGAATCCAGTAAAGGTACTGATAACACCAAGGCCTCAGACTCTACAAAACAAATGGCCTGTAAGACCAAGGATCTGGAAAGTCCTCCTCTGCAGCCCGCCTCCTCCCCGCCCCACTCCCCCGAAGCTCCTCCTCCCCACTCTGAGTAAGGAGGGACACGTAAAACCTCAGACAAAGGAATCACACACCCCTTGCATGGACACTGCAAGGGTATATAAACTGTAAGAATCTAACCAAGGGGAGATTGTGCTTTGAGTCTGTTGAATGCCCCACCCTCTCTGCCAGCAATAAATTCTCCTTCCTCCAAACAAAGTTGTCTGAGCCTCCGAATTCCTCCATTGGGTGTTGCTTCCTGCAACACAGCAGCTGACCTTTCCGACTAACTCAACAACAGAAACTTGCCCTCCTGTCTCACTGCCAATGATAAGTCATCAAAGAGGTCAGTTTAAAATAAGCACTGCCCAAAAGTGGGCAAAATGTGAGAAGCAGAAAGCTGATAAGACTGCAGGCATTGGATGAATAAAAGTCACACTCCCTTCCTCTGGAAGGTGTGCACAGCTGGGAGGTGGACCCACACTTTCCCAAATTCCCTCTTTAAGGACGATTTGGGGAGGACCCTAAGCTCTGAGCCCGGCACCATCCCAATTTTTGAAGGCAGGCCAGCAGTTCTTCCCCCGCACTCCCTTCTCTTGGATCTATTGCACAGAGCTGGCTTTCTTCCAATGCTTTCTGGGACTGGGGCAAAAAACCTACCTTCTTTCCTCGAATATCTTAGCAGGGGTTCAGGAGTCAACACTGGAACATATTTTTCCATGTGATCGCCCCCAGCATTCTCTTCAGATTCACAGACACCACAGGCTAAAGAAGATTGTTCATCCTGGTGCCGGACAGGGCAAATTTCCCCAAGTGAAGGGGAGGCCAAGCCCTGTATCGAGAGAAGAAAAGGGTCCTTTGGCAGAGAGTGAAGAAAGAATTCAACACACATGCCAAAGTGAGAGTCAAAAGGAAAATTTATTAGAAAAGGGCTAATACTCCACAGACGGAGTGTAGTCTCCTCTCAGAGGCAGAGTGAGAAGGACCAAGAGAGGCTTGGAAAGACAGTGAGTAGAGAGGGGGCCAAGTGTTCAGGGAATTCAATGTATATCATCATTCTTTAGTTCCTGTGAGTTATAGTTTAAAAGACTTTGTTAACCCTTTTCCTTTGGTATGAACCTAC